CCACACAGATTCGTAATTCTCTCTGGATCAAGGGAGCTGCAATCTTTTCAAATTCAAAATGGAAGTATTTCATTAGGCTTTCTGCTTTTCTGTAATAATTTTTGTTCCCTCTGTACTTTACACATAAATAAAGCCATTTTTTTCTAGCTTGCCCCAAAGCTCCACAGACCTAGCTTCCAGCCCACAAATGTATTAATTTGCATGATTTATCACACAAGACAAAATACTTGCAAAAATACTTCCAGCACAGCTGGCTCAGCCTGTTCTCTTTTTGTGTGTCCTGAAGGAGACCCTGGAGAAGGCACTCCCCAGCCCTGAATGCTTCCATGTACCCCTCCCCAAACCCCTGCACTATTGCTGTTGTCTTCTGGTTGATACGAGTTCCTAACCCTCTGTATCTTAAAAATTCATTTGCTCTTTATTAGTAATGTGAGTTCTTCTGACCCATTAGGCTTATTATGAATTATAGTCATTGATGGTTTGATTCTGCATTTTAAAATTAATCCATGCCATCTCATCTGCCCCATATTATCAAGATATCCAGAAAATACTGGCAGGGGATTCATGCACTGCCTGAACTTCAAGCTGGAGGCCTCTCTGGTCTAGCCTTGCCCAAGATATCCCAGGGCACGCTGAATTACACCAGATACCTATCTTTTAGGTGACTTTTTGCACCAAAAATGTCTACAGAATTGTACACAATACAAACATACACAATTAAAAAATGACTCAGTTATATGCATTCTAATCTAATTATGGAAGTCAAACCAATCATTGCAACTGCTATTAAGAATGAAAACAATTTAAGACTACTATTCCCTAAGAATGCCCTGATACTCACCAGAAACAGGACATCTTTAGTGAACTCAATCTAGTCAGACTAAAATTTTAAGTATTTTAAGATACCAGCCTGTCTTCTGACTTTTTTGTTTTGATCTTTACTCCACCTCCACCTCCCATCATGCATTCCCTCTACCTGAAGCTAGGACTACAAGTCTGTGATCCCTCGTGTTTTATCCCTATCACTGTACTCTTCATTTCCCAGAAAAAGCATCCCAACTCATTTCACCCTGTATTTCTGACATACATACACTCCATTTCCCTAACACCTCCCAAGCCAGTTTTGCATTAGCATCACTGCTCAGTCTTCAGAGGAGAGTACCAGCACCATCTGTCCTAGCAAAGAATACAGGGACCTGCCTCTCCTGGCACTCATGACAACAAGTTACCACAGCTCAACTAATGAATGGCATCCTGCAAAAAGAGAGCTACAAAAATTATTGGACAAAGCATATTTAATTTATACATCATAATTTTCTATTATATAATATGTATTTTTTGCTATGCAGAGCAGCTACATAGACTTACGTGTCTTTTTTTCCTTGTGAATCTGCACCCACATGTTCCACTGCTGCATAATAACTCTTAATATTTGGACATAATAATGGTCTTATGCTAGAGCCATCTTCCACTTTGGCTTTTTTCTTTTTCTCCTAAAAATGTAAGTGGATCTTCTGGATGTGCAACAAATACATCACAAAGCAGCACCTGCAAAAAGAAACTGCAAATTAACACCTTTGTATTAACAGTAAAGTAGCATCTAGTTATGAAACTAGTTAAAATAAGCAGAAATTTACCAGCATCTTTTAAAATACTGCAAAAGAGATGTATTTCTTTTTATCACTTGCCTTCCCTTTCATTCAATTTTTTTATCATATTTCAATTGCTAGACTTCAAAGCACTGGTTTTAGGATAGTAAAAAAATATGTGGCATTTCTTTAACAATTCCTACTAAGAATTTCATTGCTTTTAACATGCACTAAAGAAAAAATACATAGAAGATTAGATAATTTTATTTACTTAATGAAAACCAGAATATAATACAAGTTTAATACTGTGTAGTAAAGAGTATGTTGAATGGGAAGCTGGGCAAAAATTGAACCAGCATGGAAAACAAAATGCAGCTTAAAAATATTTGCTTTTCAGGGTTATCATACAACTTTGCATTATCTTTTAGTAATAATTCAAAATAACCAACGAACCATTTTTCTCATTTGTCCTTTAGCTGTCTTCAGCTAAAGAACATGGATCATTTACTTTTGAACTTCAAGCTCACATACAGCAAGAAAATCCAAAGTATATTGATTGCTTAAAGTATATGGACAAACTGCAGTTATTTAAGTGAATATTTAAAGGAAACTATAAGCTGGAAGTTCTTGTGCCTGGTAAAAATTTCAAAACATGACATGCAATACTACCACCCTTTCAAGACATGGCCTCTTGCTATTACTAAATTAATTTGGAGCATGTGCTTGAATCCTTTTCAGGAAGCATGGTGGGAGGACAGAAGTTGTGGATGCCCCGCTACTGGAAGTGTTCAAAATCAGGCTGGATGGGACTTTGAGCAAACTGATGGAGTGAAAGGTGTTCCTGCCCACAGCGAGGTGGTTGGACTAGATGATCTTTGAAGGTTTCTTCCAACCCAAACCATTCTATGATTCTATGTACCTATGTTAAGACCAATATGAAAAGGTGAAGAAAATTCTTCATTTGTGCACAGACAAAGCGAAAGGCCACTGTCTTCAGTTCAGACACCTTGAATATTTACAATACTGACCAACACACTGATTCCAGCTTTAGCATCTCTTCAATGTTCTCAACAAAAATGTAATTTGCAAGGTATATCTTGATGGTTGACTACATTAAGAAAATATTATAAATCCATCCCTTATCATTGTAGTTCTTGACATGTAATATCTTTTTAAATAATGGACAGCTAAATGGCTTTCATCACAAATTTTCCTATAGACAGATTTCCCAAAGCCAATCCCAGTGTTGGTCAGCTACTCCCTCTGCTGGATTAAGCCACGACGTGTCTGCCATACCTATGCCATTTTTTTATTCAAGGGTTTTTTGCCTTTATTTTCCTTCTTTTTCAAACAAACACAGACAACTTCTTCTCCTTCTGAAAGGTTTCCAACACAAGAAATCCAAACTATACAGCCATATACTGGATTGCAATTCCTCCGTTTAACATTTTAGAATATTAATTACTTGATTAAGGAAGGAATTTTAACACCTGATCTTGCAATCCTCATTCAGGTACTCTTCAGTGTTGCTTGGACAACATGTAAAATTTTGAACAGCTATATCCATTATGCCAAACAATTATGCCTGTACAAGTCTGGCTATTTCTATCAGACTTCTACAAGGCTCTCAACGATGTGAAGGAGTCCATCATCAGTATTTCTCACCCATTCTTCTTCCTACCACTTTAGCCATTTACACACTTCATGGCAAAATTAATTTGGATCACACAGCAGAAAATAAAAAACTCTGCATCCATATTTAATTCTAACATTTTAAGAATACGTCTACTTACAACAGTGAAGGTTGTCTTACACAGAGTGTTTGCAGGATTACAGTTTGCCTGACTTTTAATGAATACTGTTTAAAAGTAGCTTTGGAGGAGAACTGAAAGCAGGAAGGAAATGCTCAGATGCAGTAGGGAATCCTAAATTATTTGGATAAGATTACTTGGACTCCAATTGTGTTTGGACCATGTCCAAACCACAACCTCCTCATAAAAAGACTTAAGCAAATGGCCATCTTAGAACTCTATATCCTTAATTTTGAGAATATGTGTATAAATGTTCAAGGGTCTCATCTTGGCTTTGATGTTCCTTAATACAAGGATCAGTATCATCTCATTTACGTTCACACCATGCATACTGTAACTTCCTAAAGAAATTAAAATATAATAAAATTAAACGAGAAACATGGCTGGATATCAGCAAGCACCAACCTCTAAGAAACAAGAAAAAAAAAAGATTAAAAAATCTTACACAGCGTAATTTTTAATTGGTTCTTTCTTTTAAGAATCTCACTTAAATCTTATCCTTAACTCTTTCATTTTTAGTTCATTAACTTAATGCCACTGCTGCTGTAATGCTGTGTATAGCTATAATAGCTATAATGCTGTATATAGCTATACTAGCTATAACTTTTGCTTGGAAAGGTAGACATGAGCTATTTTTGAAGTGCTGAATCAAGAACTACACCTCATACAGACATATATTTTGTTTTTCTGTGCTTAAAAAACAAAGAATTATCTAGAGACAGACTCTCAGGAGAGGTACTCGGTCTGCATGGTAGTACTGCTCTCTAATTATTCGAATTGGCTCAAGATTTCTTTATTAATGTTTCCATGGAAATCTTGGCTGTAATAGCTGCTTGCAAATGAGGTCTATTTTGGTAACTTAAAAGTATCAGGATGTCTCTTAATCTTGTACTTGTGCATTGTGCTTTTCTTTGTTTGAAGGAAACTGAAAAACAGCTGCTGCAGATTTGGAAACAGGCAGAGATGAACGTGTCAAATGAGGAGGAAACCAACAGAATACAGAGAATCACGTTAAGAATCCCAAGGGCAAATCCATCAACTCTGTTTCCCCCACAGTCCTTCATGTTGTGCCAGTTTCTAACATTTCATGGAAGGTTATTGTTGGCACTCCTGTGCCAACAAAAATACCTAATCCACCAGTACCTGAAGCGTGGTCCAGCCCCACCTTTATCTTTGACAGGCCATCAAAAACCACGGATTGCACCCACAGCACTCAAAGAGGAGGGAATTATCTGCTCGAAACCTAGAGGTGCTTCTGTAATTAACACTGAAGAACTTAAGCGTATCAAGGAAGGTGCCAATGCAGTTCACTGGGTTTGCCTTAATTTCAATCCTCGTTTAATACGTTTAAACACGTACTAAAAAGCAGAACAGCCTTGCTCCATCTTGTTTCTATTTTTACAGTTCTCATAAATTGTTCGAGTCAGGCTACTGACAAAAGCAGCAGAACAAAAACACGCCCTAGGCCAGCAGAGGGTGGTGCTAAGGGGTGTGAGATGCCCTGGCCAGCGCTGAGGGGCACAACGAGGACTCTGCTGAGGGGCCAAGGGGACCTTCCATGGGGACGGCGGGGCGGGCGCCTCCCTCCCACGGATGCTACCGGGGGAGTTTGTGGTCCCACCGGCTCCACGGGGGACCAGGCTGGACAACCAGCGGGTGGTGGGGTCCAGAGGCGGCGGAGGTCGCTGACTGCCCCACCTCTGGGGACGATGTACCCCCGCGGGGGCTGCCATGGCGCAGGACCGCCCTTGCCTCGGGCCTGCCTGGGGGCGCGGGTGATTCCTTCCTCTGAAACAAAAACTGCATCGCAGCGTTGTGAGGGCCGAGCCTCCCCCGGTCCCGCACGCGGAGCTGCCGGCTCAGCATCCCCCCGGCCGCCCGGGGGAAGAGAGGGGCAGATCCGGGGCACATCGCCGGCGGAGCGGCGCCGGATGGGGCGGTGTCTTCCGCGGGCGGCGCAGCCGCGGCCGGGGCGATGGGGGAGCCGCGGGGCGCGGCGCTGAGGGCGGCGGCGGCCGCGCTGCTCGGGGCCGGCGCCTGCTACTGCCTGTGGCGGCTGACGGCGGGCGGGCGGCGGGCGGGGGCCGTGCGGGGGCCGCCGGCAGGTGAGGGGCAGGTGAGGGGCAGGGCGGGGCAGGGCAGGCGGTGTCCCCCCCCCCGCGGTGTGCGGTGAGGGCGGCGGAGGCTCCGCGGGCCCGGGGGGTTCCCAGCCCGCGGCCGCTGCTCGGGGGCGGATCCGCGCCCTGCGGGAGGCGGTGCCTCAGTGCTGCTCGCCGGCCCTCCGAGAGCAGTGCGGCGCTTTGGAGGACTCTGGAGCGTAGCTTATTTTTAGAAAAGTCTAATTTGTGTTGGTTTTTGTTTGGTTGTTTTTTTGGTGGTTTTGTTTTGGTTTTTTTTTTCAAGTCCCCTAAAGCGTGCGTCTGATCACTGTATTTACTTAATGGGCTGATTTGCTCTTATGTTATTAAAGTTATTTGTGTTCCCCCTATAAATCAAAGTGTTTAGACGAGGATGAGGGTGAAAACCGATCTTGTTTTTGAAGTGAGCTCTTGGATTATCATCATTAACTTTGACCTTTTTTTTTTTTTTAAACCCCCAAAGAATACTGTGGTGTTTGCCTGGTGAGATGGTGGCAGCAGGTGGAATTTGAAGGACCGGTTAGCTTCTCAGGAGACATCTCAAGCCAGCTATGACTAGTCCAGCAGTCATAGATCGGGTCTCCAGGCTCTTCAGCTTAGCTAAATAGTTCTGCCTCCTACTGGGTGAAAATGGCCTTTGATGGCATTTGTGTCATCCTTTTATGAAAGCCAGGTGCTCCATAACATCTTCCTGACTCAGAAACAGCCCTCCTCAGTTGTTTAAGTGATGCCATGACCAGCAGTATTCTTAACATTGCGGCTGTTACTTTGTAATGCAGAAAGAATCGTATCCTGCTGAATACACCACCTAAGGAGTCTTTCTGCTGTGCCTTTTGCAATCGGACATGTCTATCTCGTATTGGCCTCATAAGTCACCAGCGTGCCTGTAACAAACGTGGATAGTGCCTTCCTAAATCTTCGTTCGCGAAGCCTAGCCATGATGATGATGATGATGATGATGATGTTACTTTGTCAAAGGACCTTAGGACCTTAGCAAAATTGTCATTATTATAATTTCTTGAAGTAGTAGTCTGCAAATCAGAAGTTTTGTTTTCCTACAGTGCCCAGACAGCTTTCCACATTTCATTTCATAAGCCACTAGGAAAACAAAACCCCAAACATGTTTAGTGAATATTCCTAATAATTTTTAATGGGAGGTTTGCTGTTCATTAACCAGAGAGTAACGTACCTCAGGCTCTAATTGTGCGCTCCTTTTATTCTCTACTTTGAAAAGAGGTAATTAGAGGACTCAGTGAAAAAGGATGGAAAGCTTGCTGTTGTAAAACACAGTCTTTTTACCATGACATTCTGCTTGGGTACAATCAAACCTAGAAAAATGTGTCCTGCAACTGAGAGCTAAATTTCAGCTTTGTAAAAAACACTAAGGGTAACTAAGTGAAATGTCTCAAACTTGGTATCAAGTATTTAATTTTTGAACACTGACAGACAGCAGTCCTCCAGTGTCAACCCATGGCATGGATGCAGATGCTCTACAGAAACTGATTCATTTGCTCCAGGCCACAGATGATCCATTAATTCAAGAGCAAGCTTTAATCACTCTCAGCAACAGTGCTGCCTTCTCTGTAAATCAAGTAAGTATTGTTCTGTAGAAAACAACATGTCCAATGCCAGCCAGTCTGGCAGATGAGAGGTGCTGTTTTGCTGAAGTGACACAGGACAGAAAGCTATGATAGCTTGTGCTCTAAAATCCATTTTATGTCTATGCCTTAATTTCTGCTAGCCCAAATAATATAATTTACCAGCTTCACAGAATTCATCAAAGCGTAATGTTTGGACAACCTAAAGTCCTTACAGAGTTCTCTATTTGAAAGTGCTGTAAATATACTTTTTTTTTGCTTACAGTTATGTAATGTTAGTGAAAGGGTTGAATTGGAGGTTAACTGCTTTCAGTTTCACATCTGCAATTTACTGAGATAAACTAATTTTTTATTCTCACAAAGTTTTATGCTGTTTATATATTAGTAATTTTCCAACTATCCAGGTATCTTCCAATCAACTGGACATAGGATGCAGAAAAACTTTGAGCTGGATGCAGATTTTCATGTCTTTGTAAAAGTTTAACCTCCGAGGTCCCACTCTTATTTTTTTTTTTATTTTGTATGGTACTTATGACAGCTGTTTCTTTTGGCTTCTCAAAACTGTTTTCTTAATATAAATCTGATAGAACAGATTGTAACTGAAGCCCAAGGCCCATAGGCCCATTCTTCATTTTCTTGAAAACAGTATATTTTTTTTCAGTGACAGTTAGAGTCTAAGTGAGAAAGATTAAAATAGTAATCAAATCAAGTGTAATGGAAATGAAAAAGTTTCAGAACTTCTATCATAATATGAAGCTGCATCTTGAAATTCTGTTCTGTTCAGTCAAGACTTTTAGGTACTGTGACCTGGCTCAGCTGTTCTATAAAGTCATTATGCAATAACTTTCTTTGATTCTTTATAATCTAAAATGCTTTAAGCATGCTTTGCAGGCCAGATTTTAAAAGTAAAGGCGTTGTGCCATTGTCTAATAACATCAAATAATACTTTGTCCCTAAGCAGGACCATTCTTAATTTCAGGGGAGGCAATAAAACAGTATCTGCCAACCGTCTCTCTTTAAACAGACCACCAGTCTGTTCTGGAAGTCTTCATTCACACATATAATTTTTGTTAAAATGGAAACTTTGAGAAAAGCCTTCAGCATTTAAAGTTTTAAAAACTGTATTAAATATCTTTTATATTTCAGGATATAATCCGAAGTTTGGATGGCCTTTCTGTTATTGGAGGGATGCTCTCTGATTGCGTTCCCAAAGTTAAAGAAAAAGCACTAAATGCGCTTAATAATTTGAGTATGAATATTAAAAATCAGGAAAAGATACAGGTAAGTTTCTTAAAAGGAAAAAACAAAGTAACCAAGGCACAGGAGATAGTACAGGACTTTCAGCATGTTTGTTAAAGACAAGCCAGGATGCCAAAATGTTTTGATGAGAGGCATACGAGTCAGCAGATTGGATGATCTGTGCATCCCAAGAGTGAAAAGATAACTTTGAAATTAATTCCTTCACTGGCACTTACTTTTATTTTAAAAGACAGGAAACTAGGCAGCTTGTGTTCAGCTTTCACCAAATGTTATTAAACAGAGATTGTGCTGCTAAGTTTATAGTGGAATTATGTGAGGCAAGATCAAACAGATCCCAAGAACAGCAGCAGTGGTTGTTTAATACAATGGATTGCAGGCTGAACTTGGCAGGACTCAGGCAAGGGAGAAGAAAACAGTAATTGAGCCCCTGGGTTTGTGTGAGACCAATTTTTCAGGTGATATTTTCATCTTTAAAGAACGGTGTGTATACATGAATGCCAAGTTCCACTGGTAAATACAGTGGATGCCATGGAAATAAAGGGACTAAGCATCAAGAAAAAACCCTACTTTTTGTCATTATCAGATTAATCAATAGATCAAGAAGTGTCCAGGCAGAGAGCTGAGGTAGATTTAAGACTTTCACTGGTTTTTTTTCAGTAGCTTGATAAAAAGGCAGCGTGATTGTATGTGGCAGTTTGCAGGATCTTTAGCAATGGACAGCTTTTATTCCATACATTTTACAGACATAGTGCTTGCCAATATTTGTATAGGTAGAAAATAACTCCTTTGGTAAAGGCAAAGTAACTTTTTTCTTAGTTAGGACTCCGAGACTTATTGTATATTGTCATCCAAAAGAAAATTTAGTAAAAATAGTTGTTAATGTCAGTTGTCATCACTGTTCCTGCAGAGTGCTCCAGTAAATGAGCCACATGATTGGAAGAAAGGATTTCATTCCAAGGCTTGTCCTTAGCTTGTTCTCAACATTGAAGATATTAGTCGCTATAAGTGATTTTCTTTAAATAACTCCTTAAAGCAACTGTGCCACTTCTGAGATGGAGTGAAAGCAATTTAGGTTTTCAGAGCAATTTATGCTTCAGAAAGGTTAGTGGGCTCTGTCTGCTTCTGTCGTGCCAACAGAATGTTTGAATGTATTTAAACCTAAAAACTACTTGTTTATAAGATCCTTCACCATGCTATATATTCAGCCAGCAAAGTTCAGGAGGTATTTATGCAACTGTAGCTAGGCCACAGATACTATTTGTGAACAGAAAATATGCTTGTTTCAAAAACTGTCTTTTCTGCATCTCCTTCCCCTTTTCCCCAGGTATATATTACACAAGTTTGTAGGATCGTTGAGTCAGCTCCCCTCAACTCTGATCTGCAGCTAGCTGGACTCAGGCTGTTGACAAATATGTCTGTTACCAATGACTACCATCAAAAGATGATAAACTCAATTCCATGCTTTCTTCATTTGCTTTCAGAAGGAACTGAAAGGACACAGGTACTGAGAGGTGTTATTGTTACAAGCCATTTATGAAGCTGCTTTACTTGCCTCCTTTTTTACTGTTTTTGTAAAAGAGTTGAGACTGTGCTAAGGAAAACCAAAACCAAATATTCATGAATGATAGCAGATACAGATTTTGTGCACTAAAATATGGATCTGTATTACTTCCACAATATAAATTCAAAAAGGGGGGGGGAAGGGAATCTTGGTAGTGGAACCATTGGGCTTGAGCTCTACTAAAGCAGTGCAGGATGCAGGGTGTCCTGTGCCTTTGCTATAACAACTCCAGAATTCTCTCCTGCTCTCAACATTGCTACTGCACCACAGAGCAAAGAGAATCTGCATGTGAAAGGGTTCACTGATGCATGAATCTCTAGGGAAACATGCTGAGCAGTGATCCTAAGTTATGGACTTCTGTTCCCTTATGCCTATTACACCTCTTGCAACCTTCGTGACTGCAGTGGGAAATTGTGCTTACTTGTGAATTACTGTAATATTGAAACAAGAGCTTCAGTCAGGGACCAAACAGCATTTATTCAAGATGTTATGGTACCATCAGTGTACGTGGTTGCTCTCTCAGATCAAAATCAGTTTTCCGAAACAGATTTCCACTAAACATAGCACACCTATTTTACTGAAGTACAATAAGGAACTTGGCCTTTCCCCAGTGTTTAAAGACTAGTGTCACAAGGTCCAAGAAAGTACAAAGGTACATTTGTATATGCTTCTTATCATTTTAAATATAGCACTTAACCATCCTCTCTGTATTTTAAAAGTATTCTGCAGTTTGCCTACTGGGAGTTGTCTATAGATCTTGCCTTATTTTGATGTTAAAGTCAAACTGAATTTGCTTCTAACAGGTCTATACCTTGGTTTTCCCCTATATCATAGAAGTGCACAACTCAAGGTGTTAGTTGACCCATTCTACCTTTTCCTGTACAAGTCAACACTGACATTATTGATGCCTATTACTGCTGTACTTACTGTTTTGGAGCTTGTAATGAACTTGTATGCTCCTCATTTCAGATTCAAGTTTTGAAAGTACTTGTGAACTTATCTACAAACCCAGCCATAACAAGACATCTTCTCAGAGCTCAAGTAAGGTTCTTGCTGCTTCATTTTATTTTTAGAATATATACACGTGTACCTGTTTAGATATGTGCATGCACTAGAAGAATTTTAATGTATTGGAAATATATATGCAATTCCAGAGTAAAATTCTAGGCAGTACTTGGGTAAAAGCAGTAGTTAGAAGTGCACATTCTTTCACAGGCTGCCTTTCTTCCAGAGGGTAATGGAATACAGATGCGGCACTTGCAGAGAGGCAGGCACAGGGCCCTACGGCCTTGGAGACAGTGGGTTGTACTTCTGGTGCACCATTCCTGATAATCAATGATAACATGCAGAAGCCTTTCCACTAAAGGGGTAGTACCAAGAACTTCAGTTTGTAATATGTATAAGGAACCCAAAACCTGAAGACCAGGAGCAGACATCAAATAGAACCAGTAGTGTAAATGATCCTTCTCAATAGGTGTTTCTACAGCCAATATACTGTACCAAAACCAACCAAATTCCACTGAAATCCCCACCCCTTTACTCAAATGCAGTCATAAAATTATTGTCTCTAAGTGAACTTTCCCTGTGCATCTACTTACATCTTCATGGAGAACTCTGGGACATTTGCTGTGCTGGCCTTGACACACAGGTTTGTTTCGGTTTCATTCCCTCACACAAAACCAAAGAGTCAGAGTTGGAATGCTGCTGCATCCTCTTCCCCAGAGTAACTTTCTTAAAACATGTAGTGGCCTTTATTTGTGAGCTATCTGCCATCAGCAGAGCTAGTCTAGATATTACTGTCTTTTCATTATCCAAACAAGATCAGGGTAGCTAAATATTCAGTTCTGTTAAAAGTGCATCCTCTTCTCATTTATCAGAAGTGCTAACATAAAAATATTCAGATCACTGCAGAGAGCAAAATCAACATTACTGAGAAGGAAAGCAGACCCTCTCTTCCAAATGGGAATTTTCCAGCCAGCCACATTTTGGAGATTGAAAATACAAAGTATTTATTAGGATGTTGATGCACAAGCCAGTCTTTTCTAAAGAGGAAGTATGTGCATACTGTGCAAGTTTCTGATGTGCTTTCACAACATACAAAGTTCTGAGATTTCAGACAGTTTCTGGTTTAGGTGCAAATTTTTTTTTCATTTTCTAAAGTTAGATTTGGTTACATGTACTTACTGCTGGTGATTAAGTATGGAATATTTCTTGAATGTCCTAGGTGCCATCATTGCTATTACTTTTTGACAACTCTATAAACAGAGATATTCTGCTCAGAGCCCTGGCATTTGCAGCAAACTTGAAAAAGAACATGAACAATGAAGATGGCACCGTAACTGAGGACCAATACAGTGAAGACTCAATTTTCTTTACACTCTGCAGGGACTCTGCCCCATTTGCTCAGAAACTGGCGTTTTTGCTGCATCACCCCGATATAGAAGTGAAAGAGCAAGTTGTGAGAATATTAACACAATAATGTTGTTTTCTAAAAACAGACTGACCTGATGAAAATATTTAATCTTGGGAATGCTATGCTAAAAAAACCTGCAACAAGCAAACAATAAAACAACAATGACAAATAAACCCTGAATACTACCATATTACTAGGCACAAATCAGTTAGTGCAAAAGAGTATTTAATATAGAGAGCATAACAGATTTTTTTTTACAAGCAAGAGAAAAGCAATAGCTTAATTAACTACAGTGCAGTTAACCACAACTGTGGAAAGTTTCTACACTTGAACAAAAATTGGAAAGATTTTATTTTGCTTTAAAATCATCACTTTAAGGAAAGCAGACATATTTTTAAAAATATTTTATTAAGAGTCAAACATTATCTGCAACTTCAATTTAGTATTCTCGTCTTTATAAAAAAGTCTACGAAGCAGTATCATACACATTTTTACAAAAGCTTCCTATTCTGTAGCAGCCCTTGAGCCTGCTTTCCTTGGAGAACTTTACTCCTTTTTTCTGCAACTGGAACATCATTGGAATAAGTGCTTTTGCTGAATTAGCCTCCATAAAGTTTAAGTCATCAATTGAGCATTAATTCAAAATGAAGTGGAATACATACAAACATCACTGTAAAAGAACCTGAATGGAGTTTCATTGATGAACAGAAAACATACTGGAAAAGACTTCTCAAACCAGACTGCTAAAAAACTTCCTAACACTTGTATTATAGAGAAAGTAAAAAAAGCATCGGTTTTCCACTTTGTACCATTTTTAAGAGAACTGTGTCACCTAAACTGTTACCAGGTGCTTCATCTAACTTAATATACCCACTCTGCTCTTAATAAAACATTCCTATCTTCTCTTTCTGTAATACAATAGATGTTATTTTCAGAAGGTGACTTTGCAATTAGCTAAAACTGCAAGAAAAAGATGACCTTGAAACTGCAACATATGTATGCCCTGATCAATACAGGGGTAAAGCTACATGTATCTAATTTAACCACATAGGTAGTTTTAACTCACCAGGAATACAGTCAAGGCAGAAATAGAAGTTGGCATGATTCCCAGTCAGAACTTTGACAATTGCTGCATTGACAGTGAACTTCCCTTTCTCCTTCCCACTGCTCCTAAAACACTGTACAGTTTTTAATAAGCAAGTTACATTACAATCACTTAATGTTTTGCCACTTTTTGTAGACTTAATGTGTTCTGCTGCTGAATTTAACAAACAAAAATAAAAGCTAGGCCAGACACTAAGAATTTACCAATCCCACTCTCCTCTCCTGATGAGACCTTAAGATTAGACTGTTCTAGGTATAGCTGATGTGTATGTTTACTTTAGCTGAGTAACAGAGATGTCTAGATGTCCCTTTTCATGTTCTCCAACTTAAAAAGAAGTTTTTTAAATATCTTTTTGGTAGAGTTGACCTTTTATCCTTTGCTTTGACAGCTGACAGAAACAAGTGACATTTTCTAAAAATACACAAAAAGTTGTTACAGTGTTTTCTCAGTTGTCTTTTTCTGGTCTAGAAAGACCTATTTTTAAACGCTTTCTTCATAGAACAATGCTGTTGAGATGTTCTAAAATCATGCAAGACTCTCCAAAGTGCCTTCATGCAAGGATGTCTAATTTTTTTATTCCCTACCCCCCACCCTGGATGGAATCTTATCAACACCAAGCAAAACGTAACAGTCACCATTCTACCTAAAAATGTTGTGAATTAATAGATTCAAAACAAAATATGTCTCTGATCTGTGTAAGTCACTATTTCTCTACTATGTGGCTGCTTATCTGGGTATTCTATATTTTAGTTTCACTCTTTCTAAAGGACATAATTTTCCAGAATAATCTATTGATGATTTTGCAAACAGGAAAAAAACCCAACCTACAACAAAACCAGCCTTAATTTTAACCTTGTCCTCCAAAGAAGTCGAAAATTCCTGCAGCTTGGTGTCCTCCACAAAATTATGAACATGTAATATGCATTATATGACTCAAATTGTAATCGAAGCTGTTGTGTAAATAAAAGGCTCAATAGAGACTTCATCTGAAATAGCCTCCCAAAATCAACACTGAACAACAGAGTAGTTTTAAACCCCTTTTTGAACAAATTCTGGTGAATACATCTACATGACACTAGAATTACCTTTTTAAATAAAGAAATCTTCATGTTTGTCAAAGATGAACCCCACCAAAGCAAATAAGCTGCTTTTTCCTACATATAATTGTAATCTCTATTCCAGAACCCTTCCTCAGCATGAACTTGGACTAACTCATCTTTGCTTCCTTTTGCTGTTCTTTGTTGATATGAAGATCTATAAGACTTAAAATATTTATATTGGGAAGTCCTAAAAGAGATAACTGTCTACAGTTAAAAGATTACTTCAGATTGTTCATAGCATGAAATCTCATTAGCTGGTTTTAATTAGTTGCCAGAAGTTCATGTCTTCAAATAATGTGTCTTCTTTAAAAATTGTTTTTATCTTCATGGAATAAAATGTAATGCACAGCAAGAGGAAAAAAAAAAATAAACACCCAACCAATAAACATATCCCATAGACCAAAACAAATCATAAACAAAAACCAATTTGCCAATGAATTATGAAGGAGAATAACAACCCTTTTTATTGGCAACAATAGGCTTTAATTCTGTAAATTAGCACGGCAATTTGATACAGACACATTTAGCCAAGTTTTATAATACTGAACAATGTTGTAATCTCTCATTCAACTTTAAAATTATAGGGAAGCTATAAGAAAAAATACCACAGCCCTTGCTTCAGACTTTTCACTTAAAAAGAAAAAAAAAAAACAACTTAGAAAAAGGCTGAGTCAATGCAGAGACAAGCGCCATTAAGGGATTGTTCCATTTCATGCGCTTCATTTGACACATTCGACCTAACTTAAAACATCGACCAAACAATGAAAGTGTGCAGATAACTCTGGCCAGCAGTTAGTTTTACACATCCATGGTGCAATATTAAATTATCTCTCTCTTTAAAAGGCACATTTCTTTGATCACTGTAAAATTCAGTTTTTGTGGTTCATCGATATTTGAAAACGAAGAAGCACTCAGTAAAACAATTGTACTGTGCTTGTGCTTTAACAACACAGCTGTAATGGAAGACTCCACCCCACAAAACATACAGTGAAGCTATCAAGGTACAGGGCAGAACCTGAAGACTAACAAGTGGGAGATGACAGTCTAACAATGATTAATTCAAGTCAGCCATTAATCCTAAGCATATGTCCTGTGCTGAGGTTATTATTGCTGTTGCAGGTAAAATGAAGAGTGTAAAAATAAAAATTTTTATCAGTGGTACACATCAGAGTTGAAACTGCAAGTTAATCCCAGACAACACCTTTTATATTAATCAGTTTTAGATGACCTCTCAAAATTTATAAATGATATAACTAGTAAATTTGTCATGAAATTGGTATGCAAGCTTTAGTGCTGAGACTGAAAAACTTACCATGAAATTGGTATGCAAGTTTTAGTTCTAAAACCTGGCACCTAGAAATCCAATTCAATCTAAAAAATGCACTGTGTAAATACATCATATTAGTATTTGTACTTTTAATTGCTAGTTCAGATCAAACTGGGCTTACAAGGAACTGCTACGGTTTCAGTTTTCAAACATGTCATTTGTACCCAGGTCCCGTGATTCTCCATGGTTTAAGAGGAAGAAGTCATCTTTTTTCAAGCCGTATCTTTCAAGAGCTTCATTCAGTTTAGCCGGAGGATCTAAGTAATACTGGAAAAAATGAGAATAATATGAGGGAAAAGATACCACTGCAACATTTTGGGGGCAGAAATCCCTGCTTTAAAAATGGGGGGAGAAGGAGGATGAGGATATTTGTCAAAACGTTTGGGTTCATTTTAAGTTTTTAAATGCTAAGAATGCTGATTTATAGCCGCAGAGTAACTAGCAAGGCACAGCCCGTCCTCCACAGTTCGGTCGCCTTCAGTGTATTAACAGATCCCTTCGGAGGAAGCGCTGTCCGGCCAGCAGCTGGCGCTTTCTCTCGCTCAGTAAACCCAAGGTGTCAGCGGTCCTGTCTGAACTCTCGGGTGCTGCCACTGCGGCCCCCTCAAGTTACCGCGTTGTATTTGCTACATTTCAGAAAAGGCACCATCAGGGAGAAATCACCTACTTTTTGCGCTTCTAAAGACACAGTAACATTTGTACCGTGGGCACTAGTGACACGGTTTATTGGAAACACTGTGGACAGGAAAGGTTCTGTCCAAGCGCCCTCGCTAGGTTCCCTGCCTGGCAACTCTTTGCTCTGCCAGGGAGGAGGTGCACAAAGAGCTGGAAGGGACAGAACATATGACATATCAGGTGATCGCAGTATCAGGAAGGAATCAGAAGATAAAGCGGTGTAACTGATACAAGGACAAAGTTGAAAAATGGCTACCAGACAGTATGAAAGCAGAAGTAGGTACTTCCCATTCACTGCATTTTTAGTTGCTGTGAAAGTACCTGGGTAACCTTCTTATTAGAACTGTGGACTTAAAGAGGGGAAGGAGGGAATAATAAAAAAAAAAAATTAAAAAAAAAAAATCAGTAACTCAATTTTTCATATCCTTGCTGATATTTAACTCTGAATCAAGTATTAAAAATACTGTTCAATTTATTTACTAGACAGGTATGATTATAAATACCATACTGACCTACAGGCATGAAGTTCTTACTATCTCCACGTGATGCACTGCTGAGTCTGCTTTTATTACTGTATATGTGTCCCCACCTATTATGATCCTCAGCTATTGGATATCAGAAATCCTCCACATTTGTTTCACTAACTCTGTACTTTCTTAACAGTGGAAGTATTTTATGTAACTAGTTATGAAAAGCTAAGCATTGTTTTGAACAACAGTATGTGGAGTAACAACTTGTCACTCTTACAAAGTTCACAATTGAAGTTTACGTTTACAGATATGTAGGTTTAATTGCACAAGCAAAGCTTCACTAATGACTATGTAGTACTTGAAAATCTGAACTCACGTAATAGTGTTGCAATTTACCTCATTTGCTAAAGCAAAGGTCCCCCAATGAATTGCTACTGACTTCTTTGCTTGAACATCAATATGGATTCTTACTGCTTCTTCAGGATCCACATGCTGGTATTTCATAAACCACCTACCAAAACAGAAAGTAACATTTTTTTGTGTCACCTAATCAAGTGCAAGATTTCTTCTTTACTGTCATTGGGTAAGTTGCAAAGAGAAAAAAAAAATATATATAGTCACCTAATCAAAAAAATCATAAGCATGTAGACCTCAACAACATACAGAACACTCAGAAGCAAGAAACTAACATATACCAACATGCCCATGAAACAGCTGTTCATGTATTGCACTCCCCTTTTCAAAGGGTTTTTTCTTACCTATATTTTCAATAGTATAAGGACATATTACTGGTGCCTTGAGGCATTAAGGCCAAAAATTTAAATCCATCCCTGAAAAAATTTCATGCTAGCAGCACACACCAAGGAGTGTGTGCTTCAGAAATAGCTCAAGGGAATGGTGGTAAGGGAGAAGGGAGAACCTGACACTTCTTGAAAGATACCAAATTTTTACCTTTGTGTTCAGTCTTATCTTCTTTTCCCAGCCCATACACATTTCCCTTCCAGCATTATAAGAGCACTATCATCTAGAAGTTTAGATAACCCATCATAAGTAGGATAGAGATGCCTAAACAAACAGATCTTTCACACATTATAAGTGAGTCATCTCTATCTCCAGATAAGTTGCAAAACCAGCATAAAGCCTGAAGCAAGAGAAAAATGCAGCAAATGGCATGCATCTGAATGGGCTGGATTAAACTATGCTGTTTTGGGACAAAAAAAAAAAATCACAGAGCAATTCCAGATTTTTACTCAACATCTTTCATGGAGGAAAGACTGCCAATTCATCCCAGCTGTGCTTAACATGGAAGGAAAAACTCTCCAAAAACATCACACATACACAGACAGGCATCCTGGACATTTCAGTTCCATCTTCTAATTGCCTGCTTTTTTCTTTTTTTTCATTCAGCAACATCCCTTGGCCTCAGCAATTTCTTTCTTTTGCCTCTATATTCAATTGTATATTCTTAATAAAGCACACCTACAATTTTAACTTCTGAGCGTATTTTTTGCCATCAGTAAATAATTTCATTTACGTATTTTGATCAAACTTTGATTTTCATACCTTGGCTCATAAGCTCCAATGGGGATGGCTGCAAGATCGAAAGGTCCAAACCTTTTACCTATCTGTTCAAAAGCTAAACAATATCCGGTATCTCCTGCAAAGAAAAACCTATTCCAAGGACCCAAGACAGACCAGCTGCCCCAGAGAACCTTGTTATCATCTCTCACAGTCCTTTTGCACCAGTGTTGCGAAGGGGTGAAGACAAAAGTCACGGCATCATGACCAGGGACACAGTTCTCTTCCCACCAGTCCAGTTCAATGACATTCTCACAGCCACATCTCTGCATCCACTGCAGGAGCCCCAGTGGCACAAACCAGCGCAGCTCACTCCCAAAGCGTTCGTTCAGACTCGTCACAGTGTTGTAGTCCAAGTGATCGTAGTGGGTGTGGCTGATCAACACTGCATCTATTTTGGGGAGCTGTGCCACTGTGCACGGAGGCCTTCGGAAGCGCTTGGGACCCACCAGCTGACTGGGGGATGCTCGCTGGCTGAAGATTGGGTCAGTAAGAAGTACAAGTTCGTCCATTTCCACCATAACTGTGGCATGTCCCAGCCATGTGACTCGCATACCAGCTCCTGTCTTCCCAGCAAGTTCTGGCTTTTGAACAAAGTAAGGTTCCAACACTGGAAGCTCTTTATCGAGTTCCTAGCAAAAAAGAGCACAATATGCGTGAGAAATTTCAGAATGTGCTTGGCCACGGAACAAAAACTGCATACAAGGCACAAATCAATACAGTCAAGACTTGTACTTTGATTATGTTTTATGCAATCAGAGAACTGCAGCACAAAATAGATGCCTTTTTAATGGCCATTTTCCCAGCTACTGCCTCCTAATTTCATTTTAGGTTTTTGCAATATTTACGCTTCTCTGTTGAGAGAGAATATCCTATCAGACCTACTGAGAGAGTCTGAGAACATTGCAGTGAAAGCACTGCAAGGCACTAACAGCATCCTGAGAAGGGCTTTGCAATATAAACACACAGTGTCTTAACAAATGCTGAAGTTTAGCTTGTGCAACTAAATGATGCATCCTCCAAGTCCTAGCACAAATAAGTCACAGATGAAAGAGAATGCCATGTTCCCAACAGCACTCCACAAAAGCTCTGTTAGCCTTTATCAGACCCTCTCTCTCTCCCCATTAGGTCCAGTAGCAGCACATGGAGGTTAACCTCACCTGGCTAATGTCACCTTTTACAATTCCATCTTCCCATGCTGCCAATAATTCAGTGAACATTCATAAAACACAAAATCATTTTTAAGGAAAACCTTGAGATACTTAGCTATGCTGCTTCTGATGGTTTACGGAAGCCTTTAAAGTAATTAAAGTTTAATTATTACTGAATAAATCACTATACTGATCTCCCTGCATGTTCAGGACGCAGCCCAGTGACTGACTTGAAATCAGCCTAAATCCATTCTCCTGTGTAACATTCTCCTCTCTTGTTCCAGCATGAACAATTATGCAGTCTCCACTCAAGTCTGACAGGTCAGAGAACTGATCTGGCTGAACACTAATGCAGAGGAGAAAAACAGACAGCTTTCATCTCAGTTGGTTCAGATTTGGCTCTGTGTGTAGCCTCAAGTTGGCACAAAGGAGGCCATGGCTGTACATCACCAATTGAAACCCATCGCCCAACCACCACCCATTCTCTCATTCTGGAACAGAGTTACTCTCTTCACTGCAGTTTGGTTGAGATGTTTATGCATAAGTTTTATGTGTAATAACAACAGTTTTCCTATTAAAAACCCTAAAGAGTCTTCTCAGAATTTCTGATCATCACCAGCTTGCCCACAATGTGGCTATGGCTCTCCTCCCAAACAGTTCTGAACTCCTCATGTTGCTTTAGAACAATTTTTGTGGGTTAGGCAGCTTCTACAGACTGTTGACGCTCCTTTCCCTGGTAATCACAGATGTCCCAGCACTTCTGGTTCCTAGTCAAGTTCTCCCTGTGATGGTTGCTGCTCTTATGCTCTAAGCCTAGCACAGATTAGCACTATCAGTGAGTTTAGACAGAGCTGACCTTGTGCTCTCTTAAAGTCCAGCTGATGCTGTGACAGTTTAGGACTCCAGGAGTTGCCTTGCTAAAACAGTCTTGACACCTTCAGGGGAGTTACTTTCTCCACAATATTTTATTGATTTGAAAGGCATATGTTGGGAAAAACAAAGCACACACATCTCCACTCCCCTGCAATTCTACTGTAAATAATAAAATATTCATGAAATTGCTTTTTCTGAGAGCTAATGGACGAGACATGTCTACTGAAAAAGTTTCATTACTGTCTACAGGAATGAGAAATACATAACATTCTCTAAAGCTGAATATAAGGTTAGTACAATACAACCACTAAATCATACAAGAAAAGTAGTGGGCTTAGACTGAGATAAATGGCTGCTTCTCCAAGAAAGAAGCATCACTTTCTTATCTCTGTTTCATTCTAAGCACATGGGAATGACACTGGCCACAGAAATTTGAACCACAGAGAGTGTTATATTTTGACACTTCAATTTAAAAAAAAAAAGTGGAAGATGCACAAAACTAACCCAATACTCAAAAATGGAAATTCGGAAAAACCAACTAATTAAATGGGGTTAAGCCAACAAATCAGAATATATCAAAGAAATTAAACTCAGATGCGGAATTTAGTAATTAATCGTCATAATGCAATTTAGGTCAGTAAGTACATTTTTTATGGAAAATATTCTTTTTACGTAGCAGGTTTTAGAGTTAGACTATTTTCTGAGAACTAAATTAATTCACCTTATTTTTGCTGACATTTGATACAAGTTAGTTTTTAAAATTAGCATCATGGAATATTAATAAACAATACTACATGGATGAAGAACTGGCCAATTAGCAGACATGAACAGTTAGTTCTTAACTAGGACTCAAACATATTGTACTAGTTTTGACTGGGATAGAGTTAATTTTCTTCCAGTATCTCCTATGGTGCTATGTTTTGGATTTGTGCTGAAAACAGTGTTGAGAGCAGACTGATGTTTTACTATTGCTGAACAGCATTTACACAGCAGCAAAGCCAGTTGACTGGGGGTGCACAAGAAGCTAGAAGGGACAACTGACCCCAGCTCAGAGAGATATCCCAGACCATAGGACATTGCACTCAGCAATAAAATCTGGGGGAAGAAGGAGTGAGGGGGACATTCAGACTGATGGCATTTGTCTTCGCAACTAACTGTTAGATGGGACACAGCCCTGCTTTTCTGGGGATGGCTGAACACCTGCCTGCCACGGGAAGTGAATTAATTTCTCACTTGGCTTGTACATGCAGTTTTTACCTATTAAACTGTCTTTATCTCAACCCACAAGTTCTTTCATTTTTGCCCTTCCAATTCCTCTGGGGTGCAAGTGGTGTGGGGGGGTGTAAGTGAGCAGCTGACTGGGGCTTGGCTGCCTACTGGGGTAAAACCACAACACCCCTGCACTATTAACTACCTGCTGGGGTAGGCACCCAGAACATCTCTACACTATCAATAAAGGCTTTACAGGGATGTCACTAGGATTGATGCTATTAAGTATTTCAAATGGTTCATTAAAGGTAGAACTAATTGCTATAAAAGGCATTTATAAAGGTCACACAGACAGGAAGATTGATAAACAGAGAGGAACACAGTTCGAATGACTGCTTTCTTGGCCTATTCACATGAAATTCTGTGAACAAAAGTTTAAGACCAAGAACACAAAGGCAGTGTAACTTGCAGATCTCATACAGAGCTTGTGCTTTCCAGGCCTCTGTTCCAAATCAATGATTCCTCAGAGGATGAGATCAAAAATCAGGCAGGTTGTCGAGCTACCATAGTAAATCACACCAGGAAATAGCCAAAAAACTTAATTTTCAGTGCATGGGGCTTGTGTTTGGGGTTGTTTGGGGTTTTTTTGGTATTTTACAAAAGTGCACTAAAATCACCTTTTAAAGCAATAAGGACTCGTTACTCAACTCATAAGATTTCATACTAAAACACAAGTCCTATTAGCAGTATACTTCACATGAAATTCTTAAAACTTACACAACAAGATAAAACAACATAATGAATAAAATACAGAATATTAGGGAACTTTTAACCTGCTATAGTTCACTTTGTTTTATGTCAGACTAACCAGAAACATAGCAATACTAGAAGAATTATAACAGATCTTTGAAACATGGCATTAATGTCAAATCAGCTACTGACAGAAGCAAAGTGTGCTTAATACTGTCTTATCTTCATCACTGAAGTAATACAGAAACTCTTCTTGCTGTGTCCCTTCCCCCTCCCACGTTCTTCTTTCCTTCCTAATGCAAAGCAAGAAGAAACACATGACAGGCTTTGGTAAGACTAGCTGATTAGCTTAGGATTTTTGGTGCTTAGTGCATACTGGAATACCACGGGATTTTTGCAGAAATGAGAACAATCTAAATTGTTGATCCACCAACTAATAATCAAAGAACCTCCAATAGCACTGAACAAAGTTATTAATAAAACCTGTAATGAAAATACAAGAAGTCTGTGCATTCTGGATAATGATATAGGCTCGTTCTGAAGGCATGATTATAATATATATAGCTTTTCCACAGTGAAGTACAAGTATATATCCTGGATAATATGCTTTTTTTTTACATATGCAAACTACTTGGTACAGATAAACTGAACCTGCACAGCATAGGAACTCAACGTGGAAACTGAAGCAGGAGTCTGCTCGAAGGACATACCATCTAGCAGTGCTAAATAAAGTTTGGAGCCCTTAGTTTGAATTTCAAACAAGCTCAGATGTGCTTTACGGGCTGATTTAGGTGTGGAACAAAACTGGTTGGAACAAGCATCAAAATGGCTGAGGACTCCAGAAGTGCATTTCATTGATCCCTATCAAGGGATCTTCCTATTTCTGATTTACTGAGCTCCTGAATAATAGCAGGGACTTAATTAAAAACTGACATATGCAAACAATAAAATTAGTCCAAAATTAATCTCATCTGGGTCAGAGACAGTTTTTCAACTGGTGCTTTGCAGATTTCTTTGTGATCATCCTTTATTGTAAGGACAAACTGTAAATTAAAGGGAAGTGCTGCAGTTCTCCAGTGCCATCAGAGTGCTGTGTGTCCTGCACTCCATAGTACACCTCAGCATTGCCTTCTGGGGGTGTCAGTCACAAACCAGGTTTCTGGCTGGTGCTGGGAAGACACGAAGCCTTGTAGGGCAGAGGTCAATGCAACTGAGAATGTCAAGGTGTGAATTTTATGTAAAAGTTGCCGGCACTCTCTAGAAAGTTGTACACACTGAGGAACTGCTCTCACCATTACAAGGTGCAGATCATCAAATTTTAAAAAAGTAAAGCGCTGAAGGGATCCCAAGACCGACACAGGTTTGCTGTGCTTGTTTCTGAAGTCAAATTATTTGTTGTTATTATTATTATAGAACAATAACAGCCAAGATTATTTCTTCCTTAAATATGTTCCATGCCACATATCCTTAAAGACATCCCCAAACCTCTGACCATCGTGTGCTAATGAGTAACACAGCTTTTCTGTCCATAAAACTGATTGAATTCCTTCCTTCACAGGTAACTCACATAAGATAAAATTGAAAGCTCTTTACTAAATACTGACTGAGATTTATAGCCTACGCATACCTTCTTAAAAGCATTAACATCTGCCTGTTAACAAATGCTGTCTCTGGTTGTGCACCTTTCAGCACAGCTTTTCTGAAGTGCAGCCAACACATCAGAAATACACTAAGAAGTAATCCTGTCAAAACTGTAGTCATCTTCAGACTTCCTGTGGCCACAAAGAGAACCATGGCTTTCCAGTATCCATTACTCTTCATGGAAAAGAAGCTTCTCTCAGAGGTCGCTTCTCCTGTCTCCTTCTTTATACACAATATCTGACAAAAGCAACACACCAAGAACAAATAACGATGTTTCACAGTAAACTGGCAGTGTACTTTAAGTGTTTCAGTACAAATATTTCCTAAGGTTAGTTTTAACATATGCAATTTTTTCTCCTGGTGTACTGAAACAGAAAAAACAGAGATTTGCCAACACTTTCATAGGTAAGTGACAGCAACTACTTATTAAATTTTCATGAAAAAGGTGTAATGTATGTATTAAATGGCAGTCTGGAATAAAAAGGCAAAACTTTTAAAATTAGATATGCCACAGCTATTTCATGCAACAAGGATCATGTTATGCTTCCTAAGGCAACACCTACTAGAAAGGAAAGGCCGTAACTATGGTTTATGACTGAGCTAGGAGGCCTTTTTTGTTGTTTTTAGAAATATAAACTGAGCTGGATAAATCAAAGGCAGCGGAACTAACAGAAAGGAGACAAAAATTAAAGAGGTAGAAAGTATTAACCCATCTTTTGAAAATAATGAAGTGATAATAAAATCAGAAAAGTAAAATTTAGAAAAATCTCCAAAAGATGCCTGTCCTATTTTATTGATTAGAGCAGAGGTAAAAGCAGCCAAAATCATGAAAAGAAAACATGCAAGTATTTACCTCTGAGCCTGGCACATTGCTGTTATTTTTTTCCATGAGGGACCATTTCAAAACATTCGGCAAGGTTGGCGATTTCCACGTTGGCCATGGGTTGGCAAATCTCCCATCTTTGCCTCTCTTTGATTTAGTTACATCCTCTTCTAACCTGTAGTCCAGCCTGAAGCTTTTCCTGAAGGTCCTGGAAGAATCACTGCTCCCGGAACCACGGCCTGAGTTCTGACGTTTCTTCACTGCTTCTTTAGGGTACTGGTTACACGCAGTTGAAGGCTGCTCTTCATCTGTGTTCTTATCCATATCTTTTTCAGAAGAACTAAAATAAATTTTTAATTAATCAATATTTTCTTGGACTAGCATCAACATTCGTAAGACTGAGTGTTCTCACACACATTAGAAACAAGCCTCTCGTTTTATGATCTACTCTATTTTTTTAATCAACAAAATATGCCTTTAAAACAGTCACTATTACACAGAAGCCTTCAAAAACATGCTGTGGCAAGCAGACATGAGATCTCTTTGTAGTTCAGGCTGAATTTTACTCCCTGGAATGCACAGCTTCAGATACTTACACTATTATCTACCAACTGCAAAAGGGAGGGGGAAGGGTTCCTTAATTTACATTTTGGAAGAATAGTAATTCCTACTGAAACTTATGACATTCAGTGCCTGATGTAACACGATCCTGCAAGTCTGTCCAGGAGACACTGGAACTATACAGTACCTTGGGATTTGCCAATATAGTGGCTTTATTTTGTAGTAAGAGCAGCAGCCTCATGTAGCATTACCAACACTTTACTTATACCAACAAGAGGCACATACATGCAGGAAAGTCAGAACACAAAAGATATTTGGCACTATTTCCTATTTTGTCTAAAACAAAGGAAAACCTTATTGTAGGTAAATGTAACAATTTCAAATACAATTCTGATACACATTTAACTGAACTGACTGGTGAAAGGCCACGGGAAATTGAAACATCTCAAATGAGGGCTGCAATGTTTATTCTTAATTCCATCGTGAAATATAAAAAAAGTAAGAAAATAACTGAGAAAAGCTTATTTCTATGAAGTCACAATTCTGGCACATTCCTTAGAAAACTGTGAACTCAGTAGTCAGAATCTCTTATTCCAAACTGCACTTAAGTGTTGCAGAGTTTAGGAATATAATCTCACTGTATCCAAGGTAGAAAAAACAAATATCCCTATCTTATTTTAAAAGTTGCTGAAGCAAGTCAGTTGAAACTAAATGCTTCAATTTCTCTATTTACTTTCAACTGAAATGTGGAAAGTAAATACAATGCTCTGACAGGCTTAAAAAAAAACCAAACAAAAACCCCACAAAACTCAACAAAACAAAACAATAAAACAAACAAACAAAACCAAAAAACAGTTGCTGTTTTAAAGAGTGCACAGCTTTCCAGTACTTACAAACTCTACCTGGTAAAAACTAGAAGATGATCAGTAGTTGAAGAGACAGCACGATTTACGGCTGCGGTGCAGGAATAATTTTTAATAAAAAATTGTGATGTTTGTCCTGTGGAAAGCTCTCCACCACGTTTTAGTCTATCTACGGTTTCACTAATTCAGATACTCAAACTGCAGCTGTATACTCAGAAGCACTGGGCTGATGTATCAAAGCCAGTCCACTCAAACAACGTTGTCAGAGAACAGAATTAAAGCCCACAGTTTTCTCAGGAATCACATAACTCACTGTGCCCTCCACAAGCTCATAATTACAAGGAAAATGAAATATATTGTTCACTACAACTTTTTCAGCTACGATATTCCACACATGTAAGAAGCGTTACCAAATTGAACCCAAATGCATTTACTGGTGATGCTCCAACTTCAAATGCAGTCTGTTCCTGCTGTTTCAGCAGCAACTGAACTGCAACACTAAGTACAGCTGCAGTTGCAAAGATATGACAATTGATAAATACGGTGAAATTTTCTTAACAAAATTACCATTATTTCACCATACAGCAGAGATAAAATATTAACACATCAAAATTCACTTCTGATAAAGAAGCACAAACAACATTCAGAAAACACTGCTGACAGAATTTTTGATACCCCTGGTCATAATCTTGTTTTACGTAATTGCTTTGTACTTCAGTTTCCCTGCAGTTTTACTGAAACTACTCTATTTATGTATTTTCTATATAGTATTAAGATACCACATATATATATATATCATATATATATATAGCATTAAGATACCACATCTGCATCATAATTTAAATGTAACTGTTTATAGTTTAAGGCTTTTTTTCCTCTATTCCACTAAACATGTACTGGAATCAGCCTCCAAAGAAACTGACACTCAACTTGCTCTATAGCATTTTAATCAGATCTAAATGGTATTAAAAAGAATCAGTGCCACAAAAAGGCAGACAGAATACCTCAAAAAATTCTAATGGATATTTTAACTGTTACTTTAACTAAAGAGGGTTGGGTTTGGGTATTTTGTTTGGCATTCCTCAAAGAACATTCTCAATGCCAAGTCAGCTTATTAATTTAGCAAAGCACGCAGACATAGCATAAAACATCCACTCTTCCAGAAAGCATCATGAAAACAAATCACAGAAGTTTAATCATGTAGGTACTTAATTCCAGGAAATTCATCTGTTAACATCTCAGATGTTTGATTTTTTAAATATATATAACTACTGTAATTATTGTTGCTACAAGACATTTTATATTAGAGACCGGAGTGCCTAAGGTTTTATTTTTAAGCTTCTGTTTATCTATTCATTTATCTCTAAAATAAGTGAATTCTACTTTTGCTTAAATTTTCATAAAAACCTTTGATCTTATTCTGAAAGTATAAACCTCTAGGGGAAGCAGGGATCAACCATGCTGATTAAACAAAGACAATGCCAAAGCATTTAAGGCTCTGCAGGTATCTATGTGTCTGCCAACATATTTTCCACATGATGCACATACATTACTTTCATTAGTATTCCATAAGCCACTCGAGGGATAAAAGACCTCAGTGCTCACAGAATACTTTAAAACTTTTACATGTATAAGAAAGGGACACATTTACAAACAATTAACTAGACGTATCCCTGATGAACTGTAGATTCCTTTGAAGTATCAATCTTGCCAGTTCATTTCTGTTTAGTTTAAACTGGTAAAATATATCCTAGAATATTCATGACATACAGTAAAAGAAATCTAAGTTTTCTTATTAAAAAAAACATAGATGATAATTTCTTGAAAACCAGAAGTCATTAGCTTAAAATAAAACTCAACCAACTCTTAGTCCAAGGAGACTCTTACACTTCTGCAAAAAGAAGCCTCTACAGATAAGGAGATCTGGCAGGTACATTTTAAATATTAGAAAATATGCAATCAGAAATTATTTTTCTGCCAGCTTTCCTAAATTCTCCTCCCCCAAAAACAATAGTTTGGCACTTGAGAAACTAATTCAAGAACTTGAATGGCAGCAAAAATTATGAGCTGTAGAAACAACAAAATCAAACTAGAATAGAGTCGCGTTCACTTGGGAGGGACAGAGGGAAGAGGTCACATCCTTGGTGAATATTTATTGTTACACAAAGTTCTACAAGAAATCTTCTATTTTCCATACTTTTAAAAAGAAAGAAAAACTCCTGTTCTACTTAGAGGCATTAAACTGCTTTCCTAACAAATGGAGCCCATCCTTCAGGATGAGGCGACTTACCCCCAACCAAGGGCAAATGGATTGACATCATTTGTAAGAGGGGCTCAGGCAAGACACAAGGCCACCACCCTCTCTGTGCTTAGAGATTCTTTGCTCTTTCAACTGAATTCAGAAAAGAAAATGGACCAAGACATACAAACTCCTAAAGGAGACCCTTAGTCATGCCAAATCCACAAGGCCAGGAGATTTTCTAGACACAAACAGCACCACAGGCTGATGAATCGGACAAAGCCCAACATGAATCAAAATGCAGAGCTCACATAACTGGTTTTCCAGTTATGTTTTCCAAACACCAAGGCACCCCTGGTAATCCACAAAGCAAAAGAGAAGTTGTAGATCAGGCAGGACATGGCATGGAAAACCCATGTCTCATGCCCCACTAAACCAGCTTACACCTGAAAACAGGATATATTACTTAGGACAACAGGTCTGGGGTAAAATGGTTATTTCAGCATTTCTGATATAACTGAAAACTTGGATACAAATATTTTAGCCCCGAGCCTTCTGTTTATTTAGAAAAATAATAAAAATTTAACTAAACATTTTAATACTTTCTGTTCCAAGAGAAAGTTGGAAACGGCACAATAACATTACAAGAAGCACTCTGCCATTGAAATTTTTCTTTTCAAATGGTCTTCTGAACAGAGCAGAGCTTCAAGCCAAATTACTTGAACTTTATTTGAATACAAAATGCATCGGTATAAAATCTATAGTGTTTTCACCTTTTCCATCCATTCTCCTCTAGCATCTGCTACTCCATAAATGAAATGGATGTAGTTTCCCCTGTTAACTGTATAGCCAAGCACAGACATGCTACTAAGCATGAAGTCTGCCAAAACAGATTTATCATTCTTTTCTACACAGAAATGTGGTCCTTATTTAATAAATTCATAAGCCAGAAAGTCAAAGAGTTACTATGAAGCTCTGATTTACTGGAATCCAACAATATCCCCAAAACTTTACAATTGCCTTGCAAACATTCCATAGCTTTTCAAATATCTTTATTTTTTTGGCATTTTTGAAGCAAAAGGCTTGGTTCATTTTTTAATCACTGTCTCTCTGTGTAGACCACATCCAGAACTGAGCTGCACTACACATCACCTAAAGGGAACAGCACACAATTCCCAGCAAACTCACACCACTGTAGCCTTACCACCACAAGACTGAGCTTTCTGCAAGCCATATACAGCTACACAACTCAGAAATTTTCTTTCAATATACATATTTTTACTAACTGCAAAAAACCCATGCATTTTGGTTTGAAACAAAAAGAATTATTTCAGCTAAAAGGAAAGCTATTTGCAAACACTAGGGAGCATGTAAGTAATTGGCTCCCGCAAGCTCTACTATCAAATGACTGCCAGCTAAGTTTTGGCTGTGCTTTTATTTTTCCTTCAGGTCTGAAATTGGCTGCTTTAATTAATGAACAGTTTGAAACTGGAAAATTCTGAATGCATTTAAACTTTTACTGTGCAGTACTTCAGGCTGTTCCATCATACCACTGCAGATTTTGCAAAGCAAGAAGCTTTCTGCAAACTGTACACTGCTACACATCTTGGAAGTTTTCTTTCACTATGCTTATTTTTTATGGCTGCAACAGCAGTTGCATCATCAATTATTCCAGTT